CCTTTACTAAAGAACCCTTCAAGAGAGTGTACAAAGCACAATACAGTCTAGCTGAAGACATGCACTCTCAGGCCCAATCCCATTTCACCCCTCGCCCCTACTGAGCCCTTATCTCTCAGTTTTGAGCATTTATGCCTAGGGGTAGGGTGTCCTGATTTCTGTTGAGATAGAGGGGTAGAGCGAAGTGTTACGTTTTTCAAAGCCTCACTCCAGAGTGTTATGAGAAAAAAAGAAAAACCGGCAAGATGGCTGGCAGGCGACCAAAAAAAAACCCCTAAATTTTCTCAGTTAAAACATTACGATAACCACTGTATTATCTTAGTTAAATGTTGTGTCAATGTATGGTAATTTTCTAGTTTAAATTGCTAGTAAAACGCTGATGTCTTGGTAGCTAGCTTATTTCCCATTCCACCTTAAAAATGCAGCACTTACAATCTGACACATCAGGCATCACAACTGTTGCACCATTTAGGGTGGAACTGGAAAATTCGAACAAGAAGCTGGCGAATACCTGACCTCAGCTTCATACCACCGAAGAATTAGGGGTGGGCGATAATAAATAATTGTCATCCCCCGTCTTTGAAGGCATATGTTTCCTAAATTTAACCATAGACCAGCAGCGAGGTCGCTGAACTTTACCCTCCTCTGCTGTCACTGCAGACTAGCAGGGTCGCCTATAGAGCAGCGCTAGTAGTCTGTTAATGAAGCAGCGTTAGTCTTGTTTTTTATTTGAGGGTTGAACATTTCGTAGAGGAAGATTTCACCACTACCTACCCCTTATAACTCAGTTCCAAGCGGCATGGTGACACTCGAAAAGAAGGTGTACGGGTAAAAATAAGAAATGGGATTGGGCCTCAGTCAGATGCACTCTGAGACCCAGTGACGTCACTTGCACATGCAGTCTTTGCCACAACGGCAGACGCGGCCCAACGAAACGTTCACATATGGCTGCTTCTGATTGGCAAGTCGAGAGGAATCTTAAAACAGCTTCATCATCATAGTTTTTTTCTGTTTCAACAACCATATATATAGGTTTTATTTTGGAAATTACCATGTTATTTAATTCCATTATTATCAGTATGACAAAGCTAAAATCCATTCAGTGTAACTCACGCAGCCCAACAGTACGTGTTTCGCTGGTTTTGCTCATCAAACCGACAAAACTGTCGTGGCAGAGCGCACTGACGTCATTAAAAGTCTGGCGGTGTCAGGCTGACACTGCATGTCTGTATCCAGACTCTTCTCGTACAAACAGTAAAACTGGAACAACTACGGTATGTCGGACACGTGTAGACGCCGAGGAGTGCGAGTCGGTGTTATTGACAGCAGTGTGGCTCCACACTGTGGCTCGTTTCATGCACTCCTCTGTCTTTCACAGCGTAACCGTTGGTATGCCGGGATTACCTTGCTTGTATGAAGCCAGGACCATGCTGGTGTCCTCCACGTCCAGCACCGAGTCTATGTCTATGTTGGTGGTGCGGAGAAGTTTCTCCACCTCAGCCGCGTCGTCGCGCTTCAGCGCCGCGAGAAAGCGCGACTTCAGCTGCTGAACAGCCTCAGAGCGGCGCGAAGCGCGAGCCTCCGTCATCCCCACACAGCGACCCTCTCATACACACACACACTCACACATACACCAGAAAACACACTTTTCTCCAGGTTTCCAGCTGTTTCCCAGTGTGTATTCTGTGGGAATTCCGGCGAGGGAGAGTGAAACACAAATACTGTAGACTCGAATTAGGCCGGCTATTAATAGACTCTCAGGCGAAGACACCAGAGAGCAACAGCACTTTGGACGAGACAGCCGCACTTTCAGACTTTACCTCTTAGAATTAGAAATATGCATTGTACAGGGTTCATATCGTAGAAAAAAAGCTAAATGAAATAAAAACACTTGTAGCATGTAGCCCCCCAGCTACAGTATGTAAACATATACCATTCACTTCCCAGTAAATACAGTCCAGTCCGTTTATGAAAACAGCCCGGTCTGAACTGAAGTGGTGATTGACAAGTTCATTAATTGCAGAAACGTAAATCAACTCAATTCGTATTAATCAGGGTTTTTGTGAATCATTAATCAAAATGATTATTCCAGAGGTATGATTCAGATATTATTGAGATATGATTTGTATGGAATCTGTTACGGAATCATATTAAGTAATCATTAATTATCCAGTCATAGTTGAATTTACAAGAAATCACTAACATTTTTTAACATTAGTTGAATGTGGTATTTATGCATCACTAATGTTTTATGAATAAACTTCAGTCACTTCTAATTTAATGTTAACTAGAATATCTTGGTGATGTGTATATCTGGTTATAATTTGATTATATCTTGTTGGATGCATTTTATCTTTCCACAGAGTGTTTTAAAGTTCACTTAGAAGTCTTGCAAAAAGGCCCAGGCATCTAACTTCCCCTTTGATCAAAATATAGCCTTCAGTTTCCTGAACTGTCAGGGACTGGGTCCAAATCTAGTAATTGTGCTGTCTGTCAGCATGTAAAGCTGCAGTAGGTGAACTGTACAAAATAACTTTTTGTCATATTTGCTAAAACTGTTACCGTCACAGACAGTAGTGCATGTGACACATAATCTGTGAAAATATCAGGCTCCTCTGGCTCCACCTAGTGTTCCTAATACCATTTACAAGAAAACAACCAATCAGAGCCAGGAGGCGTGTCTGACGGAGTGTCAATCACTTCTCATGTATAGCAGCAGTCTCTTCTCCGCTCACTGTCTCAGTAAACACAAACGCATGGCTGGATAAACAACCACCAGCAAGTAAAAAAACAGCTCATCCCTCCTTTGCCAACAGCGAACATGACAAAGACAAGTAAACAGAAGAAGACAAATGAGGAAAAGCAAGCTAAAAAGAATGAATTAGTCAGAGCCTGAGACAAACAAGGGTAAACAGCTTTTCAGAGGTGGAGGGAGCTACGGGATCTGAAAGGCTTCAAATGCATGCAGAGTCAGCCACATTTCTGCTTGACAGGTAATTACTCTGCTTAATTGATGTTTTATTTGATTTTTGAAACAAAAATAACCACAAAGCTAAAATTTGCGTAATTCATCCATGTTTGTTTCATTATTTCCTTCTATTCTTCTTGGTAAGCAAATTGTTTTCAAAATGGTTTGTGGGTAAACACATGTTGTGAAGTATAAAATGTGTTGTTAGCAGAGGCTCCCGCTATACTAGGGGAAACCACTTTTTCTCAGGCTCTGGTTAAAGATGCTCCCCCTGTGTAACCAGTGTAAAAATGAGTGAAAAGATCATGCACAGATATAGATTATCTGTGCATAATGGATGAGAGTCATGAGGCTCAAGTCAGAGTCAAAGTCAGAGTCACTGATGTTCGAGTCAAAATATTGTCGCAAGTTGGTTTTTTTTTTTATTATTTTGTCCAGTCGAGTCTCAAGTCATAAAATTCGTGACTCGAGTCCAAGTCATATGACTCCAGTTCAGACCTCTGGAACTGAATCTTCTAGAAGCTCAATTCCACGTTTGGTATTAATTCCGATGCTGATAGCCAATCACGTTTGAGCTGGTTTCAATTCCTGTCTTATTTGGAGACAGTGATGCAATTTAGTATCCAGTTGAATTTTTGTCAATTATCACATCATCCAATGATTTTTGACCACCCCTTCTGAGCTACGTCAATCAGCTTTTACAGCACTGAAATTTACTGATAATCTATGGGAGCAACTCTACGTGGAGTGCTTTCTGGACGTGACCAGCCTTCTACTGCAGGGACGGACTACACCAGAGGAACTGTGGGTCCGTCATCCTGTCCGAGAACACAGAGAAGGTACTACACCAGGCCTGACTCGACTTAATGATACTAAACAACGGACAGCTAAGTAGGATCAACAGCAGAGAATTTAGTGCTTTTTATAATATAGACAACACTTCCTCAATGTTTACTATTCTCCTATTTCTTTGTTGTCGTAATACTAAGGCCTCTGCTAGCTATGATTGGAGAATTTGTTCCAGTAACGTCAGAGTCATCAAACCCTGTGCAGTTAATAAAAAAGTGCAGTCAAAACTTGAATAATTTGATTCATGTACCCCTAACAAAGACCAGCCCCCAAACACATAGTGTAGTGAGCAGAAAACTAAACCTTGCTTTACTCAAAGTCACTAAATAACAAAACAACCCTAATTGGAGATCCTATAAGCTTGTTTCTATGTTTCTGTCAGAAAGGTGGCTAAAAAAAAAACAAAACACATAAAATGTGTCCTGTGCAATAGTAACGTCACATTTTGTATTTTCTTTCCCAATGTGTTAAAGCAAATAGCATTTGTGCACTAAAATCAGCAGATAAATGCCAGATTTAAAGCAGCAGTATGTAAGATGTATTGCACTATTGAGTCAGAAGAAAAAAGTACATTCTTAAATATGGTATGTGCACTGCTGCAAGTCACCCTGTAAAGCCTGAAATAGTGATTTAAAAGTCAGAAGTGTCAGGTCAAATTTCATGAGTGTTTTTTGGACAAGGTCATATGTCTTTACATATTAAAGTCACACACACACAGTCAAAAAAGAAGGTCTGGCTCAATGTTTAGGTCTCAAATACAAAATCAACATTACACCGATGATGATTAAAATAGCAGATAATTCACTTGCATCCACAGAAGACACGTCCTTCACCAAGTTTTCACTAAGTTTTCTTTGAATACTTTTGAATACATTTGAACACACTCACAAAAGTCAGATTCACTTGCTTGTGTGGGTCCGAAGCACAACCCACATTAGAAAATGTTCTTCCGCACGTTGCTTGCAATTACACGTTTCCAAAAGAGAGGTCTCCAAATCCCCAAATCCTATGTAGAGTAGCTTTAAGTTTGTTCCTTTGTAGAGGATGTGTTATTTTCACTTAGAAAATCAAGAAAACATAATTTGACCTGGGCTGTTCAAACAAGTGCATGCAACTGTAGTACATATTATAATACATAATTATTAACATGACAAAGACAATAGAAAACAAAAACCAGAGACAGTTTTGGAATGAACTTTCATTGTATTTCTCTGACTGGTTCTGTCATTCTGAGGTGTATTTACAGGCCAACATGAGTGACAACAGTAACCTCTTATGAACAAAAACATGGCATCAAATATTACCAGCCTGGAGCTTCGAAAGGGGAGACATGGCACCTTGGGGTCCTTCATGCGACTATGACTTAACAAAACGGACTGGTAAAAGCTCTGCTTAGCACATGCGGTGTTGGAGCAGTTCTGTACCTTCACTGGTTGTGTCATCTCTGAAAAGGGAGGAGATGACTGCTTTACTAACAGAGTACGCAGGAAGAGAGAAGGAGAGCACAAAGGTGACAGGGGCAGACACCATTTATCCAAAAATGATGAACAGCTGCCTTGTTTGTGCGGCTGAAGAGCGATGGAACTCTAATTTCGACACAGAACTGCAGAATGACAAGGTGCATTGCAACACTGTGCATTTCTGTACTAAAGCCAAGTAACCGTCAACCATCATCATCACACCATGATTATCCCAATGCACACAGACACATTCATATAGACAGAGCCTGCAGTTCCCCACAGCGAAGTAACACAGTAAAAACCCAAGGGCTTTGAAGTTCACCTATTGCTTTTAACTGTTACATACAAAAGTCATGGCATTGCTGCGCACTGACAGCTTAGATTAAAATCTACAGCAGTTGTTTTTTTTTTCATTGCTTCAATGTGGAGATACAATAAAGTTTAGTTAGAGTGACAAGCTTACAATTAAGAGATGTGAAGGATAAAAATGATCTCGCAAAAGTAGTTTTGGGCTAATAAAGAAATGTAAATTGTCCTACTACTGCCAAATGGAGTACTGTAAGTAATATACTGATCACTTTTTAAAACATTTTTTTGGCATAAATGTAATCATACAACTTTTTGTCAATAAATTACATTAGCTGATTTACAAATGTTTCTTAAATTTGAAAAATAAATAATTAAAACAAAATCATTCCTAATACAGCTAAATGACTAAACTTAAGTGGAGCAATATCATATTTCTTGTGAGAGCAATCCAAACATTCATCAGGCGCTGCCTGATACAGTGCTCCAAAACCCAGGAAGGATGGAAGCTGTCCTCGTGTTGCTATTGAAATAATCAGTGTTCAAATGTAAACATGAAAATTGTCACAGGAGAACATAAAAATCCAACGTTAACACGCAAGGGATCCTTCACAGGAGGGAAAACGTTACAAAAATGTAGAAATACTAATACCAATTGTGTAAAACTATATAAGTTCAGCAATAAAAAGAGCAAAGCAAAACTTATAAAGCAGAATGAATTACTAAGCTACAGCTAAATCCGAAGCAATTAAAAGTTTAGGTATCATAAGACATTTAATAGAAATATTTTGTATATTGAATTATGTACATTTGAAAATAAATTCACAATAGAATCACAGAGGCAATACTTGCTCATTGTGTTATATACTGAATTTAAATTTTATAAAACTTTTTTTTGGAACAGTTTTTCATTCTTTATGGTGTATCGCTAAGGGAATAAGCTATAACAGACAAATACAAGCGTCCGGCGGGTCCACGCTGTAGTCAGATGGGGAAAATATCTCACTCTACTACGCAGAAAGTAAAATAAGAGCTACATAATTAATGTTAAATGATGGATGTTAAGAGGTCCGTTTTAAGTGCAGGTTTGTCAACTACTCACCAACATTTGCCAGACAAATCAGGGCAGAGTAACTATGTTATACAAAATCTATACAGCAGCTCGGAAGGCAGCACTTGGGTCTAACTGAGGATCTAGTTCGATGAAACGAAGAAGACTAAAAGCAGGTAGCAGTGATGAAGAAGCAGCACAAGCTTTTGCAGGACTTCCCAGTGATCCATTCTTCCATCTTTGGAGTGTGTTTTCAGCTCTTCATACAGCATTGTCAGGCCTCTCCGTGATTATTCCTTGTGGTTTCTTTCCATGTAGGAGACTTCAATCTCTGAGAACAACAAATACGGTTAGATCTACTTCACTTGAATACTGAGAGGTCACTGAAGGATACAGGACACTAAACGGTAGACCGCGGTCATACAGTAAGTATACAACGTCCGCTAAAGTCGGATGGGTTTAGCGCGAGGTCTGGGATGTTTCAAGACTTGGAATGGCTTTCTTTTCACAGTAAGATTCAGTATTCCAGTGAGTCTGACTATAGTGGATCCTTAGAGCAGCACTCAAGCTTTCTGATGAAGCAACATACGAACACTGTGACAGCAACACTGTCCATCATCATCACCTGTGCTTGAAGACAAGAGCTCTCAGGAAACCTTCTTCCACACAGGGTAAACTGCACATCTTGGTCTTCATAGAAAATGGCACATTAGACATATATACTATATATATCTTCTATATATGTACATAGTCATTATGTCTAAAGATGCTTGAAATGTCAAAAGCTGTAGATTCATTTCAAGCTGATATGCTCTGGGCAAAGATGTACATCTTCTTACAATTCAAATAAATAGACATTTATCAGACATAAACAAAAACACACGAGCAGAGATCATTCTTAAACTGTTGTAAAATGAAGAAAAAATCCTGACTTGAAATTACAATTAAACGTAAACAAAGTCCTTCAGCAGAGACAGTGAGATCCTCAGGACTGTTTGGTTTCACTTTATCCAATGGCAGTTCAGTAGCAGTTCCTCTTAAAGTGAGGTTCTGGTGTCCGCAGAAGGGAGACCAGTCTTGAGTTCCATAAATTAACTAGACTCGTCTCGTTAGAATGCTTTTCAGAGTTGAATCAGTCTTGGTGGTTGAGCGGTGCTGTCACTCTGCAGCGCCCTCTCCTGGCCCAGAGGACTTGCTGTTTCTGCGGCCCTCTTTTTGCAGCTGCTCCAGTTCTTTCTTGCGTAACTTCTCACGCTGCTTCTCCAGCTTCTCCCTGTTCCTGCGGGCCTTCTCCATCAGCACCTTCAGGTCTTTCAGCTTCTTCTTAATCAGAGCCCGGTCCTGAGAGGAAGCTACACCTAAAGCCTACAAAAACATGTAAAATTACCCCTAAAGTCTGACACACAGAGCATCAGAGTGAGGCATTAAAACAGTCTAATGATCAGCTACAGTGCCTTGAAAAGTCATTTGCTCCCTTCCTGATTTTCTCTACTATTGCATATTTGTCAAAGTGAAAGCTTTTAGATCTAAACAAAGTGTAATATTAGACAAAAAGAACCATATCAAACATAAAACACATTTTCCAAATATTACATCATTTATTTAAGGAGTAAAGTTATCCAACATGTAAAATGACTGAACACAGCCAGGCTTGAATGCAGCAAACTTCAAGTATATGTCAACCTCACTTATATTGAAATTTACCATCAAAGCAAACATTAGTGAATCCTCCTAGGAATGGCCGGCCTGCCAAAAATTTCCCCATGGGCACAGAGGCAAATTATCTGGGAATAGTTCCAAAAGAACTGCACACGTCTCTAGCCTCGGCTAAGGTCAGTGTTCCTGACTCCACAGTAAGAAAGGGAGCAAGGTAGCAAAGCAGAAAACACCACTAACCAAAAGAAACATCTATGCTCATGTCACATATGCAAAAAGCACCTGGATGATCCCTAAACCTTTTTTAGACGAATCCAAGGTGTAATATTTTGTATGACACAGGTAAGGTAAATCCCCCATGAAGCAAGTTCTATATTTCAGAGTAGGAACATTATACGAACATTCATACATGGTGGTGGTAGTGGGAAATTGTGGGGATGTTTTGCTGTTTTGGGAACAACTGAACAACTGTAATTGTTTATCTGTCCATGAGCTGAAGCTGAAACAATTGGGTTATACACCAAGACAATGGACCAAAACAGCAAAGCAAATCCATATCTGAATGGCTGAAAACAAACACAGTGAAAGGTTTAGAGTGCCCTAGTCACAGCCCTGAACTGAACTCAGTACAGATACTGTGGCAGAACTTTAAATGCTAAGTAATTCAACCTATGAATTAAAGCATTCCTGAACAGAGTGGGCTCAAATTTCTTCACAACAATGTGAAAGACTGTTATTAAATTATAACAAATGTTGGTTGCAATTATTGTTGCTAATGTTGGATATCTTTGTACCTTAAATAAACAAATAAATTCAATATGACAAATACGCAGTAATAGAGAAAATCAGGAAAGGGGCAAATATGTTTTCACAACACTAGATTTTCCTAACTCTTAACCTAGAAGGGCCCAATTGCCCAGTTATAATCTTAGTAACAGAATAATTTATAGTATTTACTGAATAATAAGCCTGCAGTTTAAGGTCTTCAACTAAAGTGCTCTCTTGTTTGGCTGTAAGTGTGTGTGAATGTGCTCACCTTGAGTGCAGTGCTGTCAAGCTGCAGAAGCTGCTCTCCATCCACGTTCTTGGCAGTGAACTGAGGGATGTACTGCTCCAGGTTCAGGCCCATGAGCCAGCATGACACCTGCTGACATGACCACTCCAGCACACTGCGGTTCTGCCACTGGTGTTGCTTTGGAGGCTGCCCTTCATCCAAAATCTGCCTCAAACACAAACATTCACACTCTATGACGTTATGATATGAGCTCTGTGGTCAAGGTCATGTGATACGCAGTATCTATCCTTAGCCTTTATGCAAATTAAAGGTACCAGAGGCAAATAAGCAACCACAGGTAATGAAGAAAAAAATCTCAGTTGCCTGTGTCAGTTTCAAGCAGATAGTAGAAATGTGAAAACAACAACAAAACACCACCACCACCACCACCACCATGCTCTAATGAGAAATTAAAACAGGACTAAGCACATGCTGAAAAAGCTTATTAAAAGAATGCCTCACCTCATCATCGATCATATCCAAACTCTGACAAGTGCAGCACAGAGGACAGCAGGAGAAGTGACTTTGTTAGCATAAGCATACACAGCATAACAGCTCCATCTACTGGACTAACTGGAAGTTATGCCCAAACAGTAGATCTCACTTACTTTTCTAAAAAAGGCTTCCTCAGGTGATGGTTTGGCCAAACACCAAATTTGCTCAGTTTTAGCAAATTGTTATAGTCGTTCAGCCAAGATGTGTTTGGTGTCTGAAGCTTGCTTCTTTAGTTTTGCTACAAGACTGGAGCTATGAGGCCTATGTAGCTAAAAGTAATGGATGCCTACAGCCACCAGTTCAGCACTGTGTAAACAGGACATTCACGTATTGTGCAGATGTCTGAGACCACCCTGCATTTATTTAATTTCCAGTAAAAATCCATTAAGTCCAAGTTATTTATTTTTTTAGGAGATAGTAAGGATATTAGATAAAATAAAATAATCCATATAATCCAAAATAAAATAATGACATAAGGATGGGGAAAGTCAAAGGAAAATAAGGGAAAAACAGGAGTTTCTAAAACTAGGGGAAAAAAAATGATTGAAAGACTCCTTATGAAGCTCCTAAGAACAGTACAAGACCTGGTAGACCACCAAAACTGTCCCCATCAGATAAACAGCATTTAAAACTTTCATCTCTTTTTTGGGGGGGGGGCAGAAAATCAAGCTCCACTTTTGCTTCAGATCTGAAAAAAATCCACAGGTGTTTCTGTCTATCCTTCCACTGTGAGAAGAGGACTTAACACTATGAGTCTGAAAGGATGTGTAGCTGTCGAGAAGGCCTTACTGAGAAAAGAATATATACAAAAAAGAATAAAATTTGCAAATCAAACAAACGTCTAACACTGATGTGTGGAAAATATTCCTGCAGATTTCTTTGAAAAACTGAAAGCAAGTCTCCTGACAATAATGGAAGCTGTAATAAAGGCAAAGAGCAGACACACTAAATATTATAATTATATTTGGTTGCTGAGGTCTCTGTGTAATTCTGTGGCTTCTGTGTATGTTTTCAGCTCACTTCCTGATGCTGAACGATGGATAACTTGTACTTAACAGCCATTTTGACAGAAATTAAATAAATGAAAGAGGGTCTTTGACTTTTGCACAGTACTGTATGTCATTACATACTTGCCTCAAACCATGTCATGTTGTTAAGTAATCTCAAATAGACTTATGTGGTTCCTAACATTGTATGATATACTGTTATCTATGAAAATGGACAAAGATATGGATAAAAATCAGATGTCAAGATGCTACCACTGTTTAAGCTATGCAATGTACATTTGTCCATCGTTCTAGATAACAGTACACCAAACAGTGTCAGAAACAGCACAAAAATTTTAAATGACGTTTTTGACCAAACCAACACTTTAAAGCTCAAGAAGATAAAATCTCTCACCTCATCTGAAGACACTACTAGTGTGTGCGAGCGGCCAGACAGTTTGGGCTCAGTGACTGCACCACTGATCTCTGCTGAGCTTGAGCTGCTGATACTGAGGTCATCATTTAAAGTGGGACCCTGAAAAAAACACACATCATGATTCATCAGCATCAAAACACCAAGCATGGCATTTGATATACACTCATGCAGCTTTTCATTTGGACTTGTTAGGCTTGCCCCTAAATTACCGGACAGGCAGCCATTTGCTCCACCACTGTGGTCAGTAGAGGCGTAAATAATCACCAGGAAATATGTTACGGATTGATTGTTAATTTAGTTCATCAAGTCTAATTAAATGAGAGGAAAGCAAAGAGACCCGAGTAGCCCTGCAGAGAGTTCTGGACAGTATGATTAATAAAGTAACCTTCAAAGAAAGCAATTTAGTTTTGATGGAAATAAATGTATTCATATAAAATGTGAAAAAATAATCAGTTTTTCTGAGGCTACAGGATAGACAAAGTGATCCAAAACCAGCACCAGCATGGAATAATTCTTTACAGGTGTTCTCATATACAGTACTGTGGAAAAGTCAATTTCCTTAATTTCCAGTCAAAACAGCCATTAAGTACTGCAGTATATGTATATGTGTGTGTTGTGTATTGTGTATTTGTACATTTTTTGTTTCGATGTGGATAATCTTAATTGTTTATGAGATTAGTTCTAAATAAGAATTAATTACTTCATGTTTAAACATATTTTGGTGTGTATGTGTTCCAGACGACACCCCCTCAAAGCTATAAGAAAAACACAACACTATTCAAAAGACTCTCGTCTCTGAATGATGCCCTTTGCTTCGCTGGCTGGTCTTTTTTACAGGCTTTCTTAGGTAAACAATTGCTGAGCTACTTGAAAAACATGGTATCAGTGCTCATTCCCTTCAGATGTCAGCATAAGTGTAAGGCCCCTTTTCATCTGGGGAATCTGAAAGAAACAGGCTGGATCTCTTGCCCTCAGCAGAGAGTAACCCATTCACTTCTGTAATATTTTTTCTGTCAATTCCAACCATAACATGAAAATAAATACAATTTGTTGCACAGTTAAAGCATAAACAAGATGTGAATACCCAAAGCTTATGATAAGGCATTCAAATACTACGTTATTACTGGGGTATGCAAGGACGAACGTGCAGTTGAGTTTATTCTCACCCTAGACTGATTTTTCACACCATTATAAAATAAGCACAGCCCCTGTGTGGGTGGAAAGCACTGCACAGTTCTTCAGCTAGAAAGCTCAACTTAAGAAAGGCAATTTTCATCCCAAATACAACTTACATTCAGCCATAATTTCTTATTTACCAACACAATAAGAAGCCACAGGTATCAATGATAATTACAATTTCAAATTTCAAAATCTTTTTTAGGAAAACAGCATGGAACTTTTTTGCCAGCTTGATTAATGTTAAATCATTTTATGCCATGCAAATTTCATGTCATTTTATGTCATGCCCATTTCAAACAGTGCTTTGATTGTGTTGGAAAGCGCTTTTATATTAAAGCCGATTAGTCTGGTTTTAAATAAACAACAAGGGATACAGTACCAAATAATATGAATAGGAGAAGAAGTGTGGCCGTGAAAGAGATTTCTGCCAAACAAATATAACAAACCAGGTCATCAGTAAATACAGCTCTGATAACACAACATGGCAAATCTCATTAGTAACCATTCACATCTGAAACAGTCTATTGCATATTCAGTTCAGGTGGGTATTGATGAAAACTCCTACCTTGCTCTTGGGTTTCTCTGGGCTATTCTCTGCAGATGGTTCTGTGGAGCTGGAGGAAGGAGACAGGTTACTGAAGCATACACAATGAGACAATGGGACAGGGGGCAGGTGCTAGGGAGAGCTACTGAAGCACAAGAGCAACATCAGTAGCAACAGTGGCATACAAAGCACATGCAGATAAGTGCATAGATGGGAAATACTGATACCTGAAATACTGAAAATATACTACTTGGATATGAAGATATATGTATGTAATTCTTTTTTAGTAATATAAATATATTTTGAATCTTGTAAGAAGAGTGTTTTTTCTCTAATAAATGCATTTTTCCAATAATAAAAAAAAAAAAATTGCATTTATATATGTGTCCCATCAGGGAAAATTCTAAGATCAAAGCACTAAGTAAGCACAAGTATTCACATGTACTCAGTGTATTCGCATATGTACTCAAGTGTTTATACATTGTCTCTAGCATAGTATAAGCAGTGTCTATACAAATATTCAGACACTTCTGTTTTCATACAAAATTTAATATACTTTCAGTGTTTATATCCATTTCACTTATGTAGTTTTGCAAAGGTGCAAGCAATTCTGCAGTTTAAGAACATGTCATGAATCTGACGTAGACTTTTTCTCAGGACCTTTCTCAAGAACATATTTAAGAAAAAACTTACAGGAAGATATTGGTGAATGAGGCCCCATGTCTTTTGACTTTGTACTCATAAATATGACCAAAGTGTGTATTCATAAGTATAAACAAAGACATGTTTAAAAAAAATTAGATTAATATAAAAAAATATTCAGAACCCACAAATTAGTAACATTTGTGGCTTGTTGCAAAGCCTTTGATAGCAATTACAGCTTTAAGGCAGTAAGAAGTAATTAACTTTTTGTAGCATCATTGTTCAGTTTTGGCCCATTTCTCATGGTAAATCATCTTCAGTTCCCCAAGGTTACGAGGGTCCCTCTGATGGACATTTAAAACTCCCCAATGAATTTTCAATGGGATTCAAATTAAGAGATTAGCTGGGACATGCAAGCACCTTCACCTGCTTTTTTTTTTAGAAATCACTCAAATTATTTTGGCTGTATGTGTGAGGTTGTTGTCTCATTGAAACATCCATTTCTCCCCAGAATCAGTTTATATATATATATATATATATATATATATATATATATATGTACACACACACAACTGCAGTGTGCGCAGGTGTCCTGTGAACTTGTGCATCTGTATGCATGCGCATGTGTGCGTCTATGTCTGGCAGCTGTGCTCCCAGACAACCAGGTTCAGCTGTGCACAATGCGGCAGTCTGGAGCTTTGCTGGCACCCAACGCTGTAACTGCACGCTCCATTACTTCCAGCGCCTCTCTCAGTATGCTAGTCACACTTCAGGCAAAGGCACCGAATAGGCTTGAAATTAGAATTTGCTGCAAATCCAGTGGAAAGCTGGACTATGTGGGGGAAGTGTAGTTGAGTGTATGTGCGTAATGCAGTGGATGTGTGTAATTTGTGTTTACAGTGACTTTATGTGAGTGTACTCTGAGTTTACCTGTGTCCAGGTGAGCCTCTGGAATCCTGGTCTTTATTTTTGCTGCGTCTCAGGGCTGACCTAAACGGACAGGGTGGATCTATTCAGAGCTAAATAGATGAATCTCTCCATAGCACACATCATTAAGTGAGACAAAAGCATCTTAATCAGTTAGAATGGTCCTAGCTGTAGCATCTTACCCCAGGTCAGGCATCCTCTTGCTGAATTTCTCATCTTGAGCTAGTAAAGAGCTCGACACCAGTGCAGAACCTGCATAGACATCAAGCTTCAGACTTTGCACTTTGAAATTTAATCTAAAGGCCATATTTTGCTAAACTATGGTGATTTTTAGTCACTAAACACAGCCAAACAACAGCTACCTTTGATTATATTACAATTAGCATTACTTACATTTAATATTGTTTAAGGTTATCTGTAAGCAATACATAGTAACATGTGAATATATTATATATCTGAAAGTATGTATGCTTCCCTTCAGCATATCTCTATATACCTGTCATGAAAAGACTATGTACAGCCATGGCTGCTGCTAAAGTATGTTACAGTCTGTTACTGTTCGCTTGTCTGTAGACAGGGGTTTAAAAATGTATGAATACATCATGATGCATTGATCTGAAGGTGACAATTCGAGTCCATTAATTTTAGAATGTTATAATTATAGATTACAATAATATTCACTACTCTTGTTACTGAGTCAAAATAAACATTTCTGGCTGTGTTCAAAAACAAATAAAAAAAAACAACAACTTTTTTCAGGTGTATTGTTTTAGGTGTTAAATCGTTCCTACAGTCACATTTGTGTATTTACTGTATTTGTGAACAGTACCAAAATAATCAAATCAAACTGATTTGTGGTAAAATTTGAGATTTAATCATGCAATGAATCGTTTTCTAAATCACCAACGGATCAAATCACAATGACTTAATCTAATCGCAATCTTATCACTGTCACTTGAATCATAATCGGATCAGTAAACGTGATTCAATGGCAATATGATCAAATCACTGTGATTAAATCACAATCGAACTGTTGACACTAAATTGTAATCAAATCAAATCACTGTGATAAACCTGCAATAGAATCAAATTTGACTAAATCGTAATCTGATCAAAAGACAGCACTTTACTAACTCACAATCAAATCAAACTGTTGTAACTGAAACACAACTGAATCATATCGCTGCAAGGTCTGAGATTAACAGTTTGGTGGAGACTGTGTAGAGGACGTACCCTCACTCTCAGGCTCCTGCCGAAGCTGTTGGTGTCTAAGTGAGGCCTCTGCACTGACAGGAATCCTAGAGGTCATGGATCCAACCCCACTAGAAGAGACACTATGAGAACCCTGCAGAGAAAGTGAGACAGAGAGAGAGAGAGAGAGAGACAGAGAGAGAGAAATGGAAGGGGAAGAGAAAGAGAGACTTTCTTTTTTAACTGCTGACTCAGATGAGGCTTAACTGGAACTGTCCACTTCCTTTTTTATTTAAGAGACTTTACGACCAATTATGACTGCAAGATGCGGAATAAGCTCTGACGCTAGGGAAGATTAAATTGGTGCCATCCGGGTTCAGACACTGCAATTAATATCTTACATAAAAGCTTTATATAAGACATTGCTGCGCCGAACAGGCACGTTCACACTCACAGCAAGTAGCTTTCAGGAACACTTAATGTTCAAGTCACTGTCAGGCTCAGTGGCATGGCTGGTTTAGCATATTATGGCAGTTAATATGATGTGATGGTGATATAATCATTACACAAACTATGGAATGGTCGTTAAAATTAAAGATATGTAAATATAACACGTTGATATTCCTCCCTATAATCGATTCAGTGTCTCTCTTCCTCCCTCCCTCTCTCTCTCTCTCTCTCTCTCTCTCCTGCTGCTTTAAATCATACTGCGTTTGCAGCGCCTCAGTAAATGCCTCCCGCTGGGCTTCCGTAGACATGTTGGCCAGTGTGCATGTGAGCGTTCTAATCCGCCTTATTCAGAGTTCAGTGTGCGTGTTGTGTGAGTTGTGTGTGTTCTGTATTGTATCTTACCCTCCGTTTAAGGTTCTCCTCACCCTCAGTCGAGCTGCTGCTGTCTCGTACTCTTTCGTAAGCTCTGTCTGTTCCACTGGCTCCAGACAGCTGGCTATGACCCTTTACAAAATCACTGCCCACACGCTCCAGCTCACCCAGCTCTGACACACAAAACAAAACAATACACAGACAATATATTACAGGGTAACGCTTTATTGTAGGGCAACATTCCTACAGCTTCTTAAGTCTTTCATGACAACTGGCATATACTTATATAAACATTTCCAAACAATTATTCTGACAAGCATCAGGTGTCTGTCTGGAGTAAAATGACACTGTCTGGGGTAAAATGACATCAAAATTGACTAATGCCTTTATGACAACCAAGCCGTTTATAGTTATTGTAGGTTTCTGTCAGTTATGTCAGGCTTACGTAAGTGTCATGTAGCAAGGGCTGAATGATTTGGTCAAAATATCTAATTGCAGTCTTTCTAACCAATATTGTGACTGTGATCTATATTGTAAATTGTGATCCAGGTCTGTTTTTGTCAAGACGACTAGCATATTCAACTTTTCTGGTTTGAGTAATGTGTTAACCAGTTAGTTCTTGTTATCATGTACACAGCACCTGGGTGTTTGGTTGCTTCCAATTAATCTCATCTACAGGCAGTTTATGTTATTAGGTTATATTTTGTCACTTAAAACATGTTAAGACAACATTGTTAATAATGTAGGTTATAATAAAAATTGCAGCTTTTGTAATTTGAAAACTGCACTCTTTCAAGTTAAAAGTAAGGTGGTAAAAGGTCTGTGAAATGTTACCTATTACAGCACTCTGAATGCTACAACAGCACAGAATTATAATTATTATTAGGTATATTGTTAAAAATAATGGTTTATTAATGGGTCTTGGCTTGGGCATACAGTTCTACTGGAATTAATATAGAAACTACATTATCTGGAGGCTCCTTAACTTTCACAAGGTTCTTTATGCTCACACATCTCATTAACAGAACTGGTTCTTTAAAGAACCATCCACTGAAAGGTTCTTTAGGACAGGGTTTTCCAACCCTAGTTCTGTAGGCCCACTGCCCGGCATATTTTAGTCTTTTCCCTGCTTTATTATACCCGCCTAAACTCAGTAAAGGGTTGTTAATGAACTGTTAAGTTGGATCAGGTGTGTGGGGAGCAGAGAAAAAAATAAAATGCGCAGGGCAGTGTGCCTCCAGGCCACGGTTGAGAAACTACTTTAGGGAACCAAAACTGGTTCTTTTCTGACACTGCTCTCAGAAAGCCTTTCTGGCACCATTATTTTCAACAGTGTCTGGCTTTTGCAGCTTGTCTTCACAGCATATTCATATTGCCCCTTGTCCTGCTTCACTGTATTATGCTGTTTGTGCGAATGTGACACGAAATAGTATCCCATTAGTGAAAAGACAGCGAGGGCTCCCTCTAAAGAGCCTGTCTCAGTGAACTCTGACCATCCCCACTGTTTAACACCGCCTCATTCAGTCATGATGCATCTCAGTCAGTATTCCAGCATTGCCCTTTTTTATCCCAGTTATTACAGCACTCAGAATGGGCCGATTTCTAGGGCCACAGCACCCATTAAAACACTCTGCATCAGTGGAAAAAAAAAGAAAAAAAAAGAGTGCAGCCTTATGAAAAAAATCACAGCCTAAAATGGATAACCAGGGTTACTCACAGGCCTTTTTAATTTGATTACTGATGTGTGACTGAGGGTCAAAGAGAGCGAAAAACACTGGATCTGTATTGATTGCTGTGCAAATAGGTTACACATTACTGTGTAGAACTGTAATATACTACTGCATAATCAGTATGATGACAATCATAAAGTTCCTGCTGTACACAGAGACACGCCATAATGGCTATGCCACAGATACATTTGCAATGAGAGGCACTCTACTCCTTACACATTAGTCTAAGTCAGCAATACTCAATGCAGGGCTGCTTAGTCCAAACTGGCAGCTCCCATGGCAGTTAATAATTGCAGTTTAATAGCCTGGCTTTTATCATAATGCAGCCAATACTAAGAGTGTAGCCAAACATTCACAGTGGTACTTATTCATATAAAAAGCTATATATCCAACATAGAAAGAAAGAACACCTTCCGAAACCTAACCAGTCAATTAACCCAACTCTAACTATGAGCCTATGCGTCAGGTAGACTTGCTGTTCCTTCACATCAGGATTTGGCATTTGCCTTTATTCATCCATTCATCTTGCGCTAGTGTTGAGTTTTAGAACAGTTCAGCTCATTCGTCTTTACTGTAAAGCTGATTAGCTTTTATGGTCATAAGAGAGAAGTTACTTGTGCACAGACGAGCAAAAAAATGACTGATGTATTTTATTTCATTATATCGGCTACATTATAGGGATATACAGTATGTTGTACAAAGACAAATTAGCAGATAGATTTGCTAAATGGAGGTGATATCATGGAAATGTGGATCTCTTGTTAATTCACTCCTGAATGTGAGGCTCCTTTGAGAAAAAAATAGTGAGGACTACTGCTCTGTGCAGTGCCTCAGAGACTCTAAAACAGGCCTGCTCAGCCCTACACCTGGAGATCTAACTTCCTTCACAGCCTAGTTCCAAAACCTACCTCTGATGTTCACATGTTCCTGACTTTGATTATGTGGAATAAGTGCTTTAGATTGCAGCTGGAACTAAACTCTACAGTACATTTATAGGGCTCCCTGCTCTAAAACATGAGAATCTGCCAGTTTGAGGTTGATGTGTACTGCTGCTAGGAGTGACCAACAGGCACTTATGTATAGTGACAGTGAGGGAGTCTAATGCAGCCTGGCAGCCACTGTAGCCTTCTGTACAGCCTTCAGCATCTAGTGTCCTTTACCTAGGAGCTTGCAGTCCCATCACATATCTTTTCGCAACTGTACAAACTCCTATTTCTCCCAAAAGTCCCACCCTGCTTTACACAACCACAAGATTTGGAATCTCTTGTCATGTAATATTTGTTTTTCCATAATAACATACAATGTAGACTGAAATGTAATAAACTAGACACCAAAATGTAACCTGATGGTTTATTCACAACTTACAGTATTTTGGGAACATCTGAGTGCTTCTGACATGGCAAAAAAATAATAAACATTCAGGATTAATAAACTGTAATTATCTACTGTATTTTTGACATAAAATAACTATGGACAGGATTTTGATCAATGAGATTTGGTCATCACTTTTTGAATATGAGGGATTCTGAATATTTATTTTATGTTCATTCTTAATGCTATGCATAATACAACTATTATAGAATCACTTACAGCTCCATTCATCACTGAATATGTCTCAATTGTACAGCTTTTTAAAAAATGCTTGAAACCTATGGAAATATTATCATTTTACATTACATCATTAACAAAATTGGTTTTATATAGTTAATGACAGTTTTTCTAAACTTTACGGATTGGTAGTGTACACTCCTGATTTACCGCCTGATGGGGCAGACTACGCTTGCCTGGTTGTAGCTGAAACCTACAGACCTGGCAGGTTAGGTTATCGTGAGTAGGTCATTTATTGGCTGTGTAAGATAGATGTGGTTTTTAGAGAGTTAACCTCCCTTGCTAAACATATTCACAAGAAGAACCGGCTCTAATCGGGACTAATGGGAGTGCTGCCATTGTCTTACAGTTTTCACATTTGTCCTTGTCTCACTGTGATAATGCCCGAATATGACCCGTTCTCTTCTTCACAAAAGATCACTAGGCACTTTTTAGTAAGCAGACATGATGTATTTGAGAGGGAGACATTCTGAGAGGAGTGTGGCTCCTGAATAGACGGTTGATGATAATTACTGTAATGAGTCACCGGGTGACATTGTTGAGGTGAAGACAGAAATGGAGTCTGGACTGTGAGTGTTTGTCTCTCACCTCCAGGGACGCGTCTCCCGGGATACTGGAGGGCAGCCAGTCTCTCACTCAGCTGTGCGCAGCTCTCTGCACTGTTGTTGTTGTTGTTTACCTGGATGCCATTTTGTTTCATCAGCTGCATCAGCTCTGATTCCAGTGTTGCAATCTGCCCAGAAAAACAAGGTTTGTTTTATTGGCACAAATGTGACTGGTGTCGGGTTACATTCTGTTATTTACGTTTCGACAGTCAGCACCCTCCTCCGGTCAGGACTTGAATTACACTGTAAATTATAAAACAATCCATTATTATCTTCCCTACAATGACACTCAGTCTGCCCTCTAATTATGGGATAAACTATGTGAGGATGGGATTCTATTGTGAACCTTAAATAGAGGTTAAACAGTGAGGTTAATTTGAGTGAGGTTACTGTTTGTTTTTGTACATTTTAGGACAAAACAATATTTTGACTTAACAGGGTAATCTACAATATTTTGACTTAACAGGGTAATCTACCCTTTCAGGACAAACAAAACAGTCTGGAGCAGTGCAAAATTATTCTGTGGAGTGACAAATCCCACTTCTCTATCTGGCAGTCCCCTTAGTTCTAGTGAAGGGAAATCTTAATGCTTCAGCATACCAAGACATTTTGTACAATTCTATGTTTCCAACCAATAGCATGTGCCAATAGCATGGGGAAGGCCCTTTTTCCAGCATGACTGTGCCCCAGTGAACAAAGCAAAGTCCATAAAAGCATGGCTGGGTGAGTTGAACTTGACTGGCCTGGCCCTCACAGAGCCCTGACCTCAACCCCATCAAATGCCTTTGGAATGACCTAGAACAGAGATTGCAAGCCAGGCCCTCTCGTCCAACATCTGTGTCTGACCTCACAAATGCCCTTCTGGATAAATGGGCAAAATATTTCACAGACACCCTCCAAAATCATGTAGAAAGCTTCCCAGAACAGTGGAAGCTGTTACAGCTGCAAAGGGGGCAACTCCATATGGATATATATATGGATTTAGAATGGGATGACATAAAAGCTATGTAGGTGCCCCAATATTTTTGTCCATATAGTGTAGTATAGGTACTTACATATCCATAACACAATATGAAACATGTATGACCCCATATCCTGACATCATATAAAAACAAACCTGTGTGTGTGTTTGTGTGTGTATTGATAGTTACCCTCAATTGTAGCCCTTGGATCTCAGTTAAATGAGCCTTCTCCACTTCCTCTAGTCTCTTCTTCTCTGCCTCCTCCCTCTGAGCAAACTCCATCTCTCTGACAGGCAAAACACACACACACACACACTTTATGAAGAAGGTCAGGTTTTTTTGGGTGTGTATGAGTGAACTAGAGAAACATGAGCAGAGCTATTATAATGAACTTAAGCAGAACTGAACTCTTCCTCTTTCATCAGGGCAAAAAGGCAAGAATACACTCTCACATACACATGAGAACTAGTTCTATCAAGGGCATGAGCCTGGGGAGAATTACAGTACCCAAACACCCCCACACCCCCAACCGCTTCCTCGCTGCTGAAATGAACTGTCTTATTCACGCCCGCCAAATGCTGCCACTACACCGAGTTTGCTTTTGCAACATTGCCCCAAGGGGAACGGCAATTAAAGCCAGTCAAGCTGTATAGGAGTAAAACCATTGTGATAGGCATGACCATAAAGATCAGCTCACACTGTCTCACAACACGCGCACTTCCTTTGTGCTCCTGCAGGGAAATACATACTCAGATTACAATGCCTACACAAAAGACATTTTTCTGGTCAATAACTGCAAAGCATGACATCTAAATTCCCCCAAAATAAATCCAGACATATTCAAATCTTGTTCAAGGCATAAAAAGAAACGTGCCTCACAAACCCTACACTGAAGTCTTCAAAATGTAATACCCATACTTTTAATCTGAGATGTCATATCGGTATTGATGGATGGATTAGCTAGCTTCAAAGATCAGTTATGCTTGCTAGGTTAGCTTTTGCCTGCCGTTAGCTTTCTCTCAGTAAATTTATCTGACTCGAACAGAGTAAAAGAGACTGGAACACAATTTTGTTAATGCTGTGCAGGTAGGACAAACCACATCATGCCTGTGACTGGTGAGGGTAATGCTTACGAAAGCACCACCCAAGATTAGGACTGCCTAGTCAATATTTCAGAGAATATGGGCAAAACACAGCCATTTAGTGGGCATTGGAAAGATTAATCTACTTAGAAGGAAAACATAGATTTAGTTTCTCGTAGATTGAACAGTGATCACACGAGATCAGGCATTCTCAGAGTGGTAAGGTCCTAAGCAAATGCCACCCCTCGATTCAGCCCCTTTATAGCTTGTGACCACTATATAACCCATTTAAAGTTTTCTTCTTTGTGCCTTAAGATCATATGCTTTTGACTCTATTTCAAGATGACTAGATGACACTCAAAATAAAAGTTGAGATGAAAAGTGCTTCAATTACAAATAGTTCATTTTTAGGCTTAGTAGTTTTTAAAGAAAGGATATTAGATCGTTATCAGGATCAGCCAATACTCAAAGTTTCATGCATTCAAAACTAAATGTGTACCAGTAGCATCTAAGAATCTTCCTGGTAGGTGAATCCTGGTGGCCTAGAAACTGACAAAACCTTGGAGTGTGTTTGTGTGTGTGCATATATGTGAAAACTATGCTGAGGAACTAACTTCTGTTGGAAGTCCTTGATAAGTTTTTTGGCCTTGTTGTACTTCTTCTCCAGGGCCTGGTACTGATTCTGTGCCTCCTTCAGGTGCTCGTTTACAGTGTGGCAGAGTGTCTGAGCCTCGATCCAGTAACTCTCCAGCTTCAGCATCCTCTCCTTATTGTCCTCAATACTCTGCTTTAACTGGCTCTTCTCACGCTCCCAGCGTGCCTTCTCTTTCTCTACTGCTGCCAGCTACAGAGATAGAGAAAGACATTATTAGTGTATGCTCTTTGACCCACAGCTGACACAAGTAAACCAGTACTGCAAAATGTCTACTTGCAACATAGAAAAGTTTTTATATTATAAATTCTATAAAACCTGAAACAAAATATGTCCCTCGCTTTTTTGTAATAAAAGAGTTGAAGGAACCAATTCATTTACATATATACTTCTATACAGCATACAGCATTCAGTGTTTCAGCCTGGACTGTTTTTTATTAAGGCACAAAACAGGATGTTTTACATATGTCAGTCTAAAAAGAACAGTAACAAAAACAACCCGATTAATTCGAGATAAGAGAGGTTGGAAAATGGTAATGTAAAAATCAATTACGATCATTTTTGAAACATAACACTACACAAACATCAGAAGTGGACCTCAAAGAAAAAAATTAAGAAATCTGTGGGACACTGGCTCTTTAACAGCACTCAATAATATAGTTTGGTGAGAAACAAACATCCAAGTCCAATCCAGTCAAATCTTCCACTAATGGAACTGGAGGATCTGAACAGCAGTTTCATATGAACCAGCTATCTGAACTGAGGATAGGCCTGAAGGCCAAAATCAGAGGTAGAAGTCCTAAAGCTGTTTAGGCTTAGAAAATGAAAGACTGATTAAGTTCAAACACTCATCTTAGAAAGAGATAAGAAAAGTAAATTTGCAGAAATAGCAAGTAGAAAGGAAATGGACCTAGGGTCTGCAGTCAGCACTTCTTGCCTCAGATTATTACTGAAAACAATATTACTGAACTATTATTGAACATCACTTGAGTAGTTCTGTAGTATATATACTTGCTTTCTTCTGAGTTGATTCCACTAAGGCAAATTCCAACCCCAAACATGTTGCCATGGCAATAAATATTCAATCAGAATCTGAACTGTACATGAGCTGGTTGCCCAGACTCAGATTAACTTAAAGCCTATAAGTAAGAATGTGTTTTTCCTTCTCCTGAAGAGTTACTATTATGGAGATGTATAGAGGATATACTGAATGTAATTGTTAAAAAAAAATATATATAATATATAGCTCTTACCTTGTTCTTGAGTTTCTGGATCTCAGCCTCAGTGACACTGTGTTTGATCTGTAGCTGTTGACAGAGAGATAGAGAGAGAAAGAGAGAGAGAGAGAGAGAGTAAATAAAGACAAGGTGAGTGACTGCATGTGCAGGACATAGGAAGAATTCCTCCACAGCCTTCAGTCTCTTGCATGCCAGGAGAGAGAAGGAAAAGAGAGCGCGAGAGATGAACCAAAGGAAATAAAAGAGAGGGGGGTGGATAGCGAGTGCTCTCTGGGACTTCTTTTTTTCCTCATCCAATATCAAACGAAAGGTAGCACATCTACACTGAGCTGTAAGAAGCGTAGTGCTGAAGATAGGGTCAGAATACGATTGTCTTTGAAACTGACTTACAGAGCTGGTCTTTGAAAACAGGTAATAAGGTAACACTTGTAGGTTTCCTGCATATGAATGACGTTTGAGCTCAGTTTGTACTGCAACTCTACACACAGCTCTGTATTTGTAATGTTAACTAAAATACAGCCTCTGGATAAACTCCCTCAGCACCAACTTGATCATTCCATTAAAAACAACTTCATGGTCTGCACATCTGGGAGCCTACCTCTCTGAATTTCTGGTAGAGTTTGGTGGCGTCCAGCTCAGACGGCGAGATGATGTCCTCATTCTCGGGCAAATCAAAAACCTCAATGGTCACATCTCTGTCCGTCACGGCTGGCCCCACCTCTTCCTCCTCATCTGTGGCGTACTCTCCTGTCTAAGACAAGCACAAAAGTAGGCATTCAATAATATACGTGAATAACATGGATGCTAATTAATTAGGGTTGCACAAAGTTGTGAGTTAAAATCACTTTCTGAAAACAATTTCAACTGTTTCAGCTTAATTAACATATTTATTTTTTAATCAAATTTCTTCACTATTAATACAAAACTCTTCAAATGCAGGCCAAATACAATGTCAACCTAGTGCTAGCTTTTCAAAATAAATAACTGAAACTACTGAAAGTATTGAAAGTTAGACTACTGAATTGTTTGCCAAATTGCAGTACTGAAAAAATATTGAACCTTTCTGATTTTGATGCAATTCTGTTTCAAACTGAGATATGATGCTGTATCTATTGTGCTCCAGAACAGCAGTATGTTTTTGGAGTACTAGGCTACTGTGCTAAAAATATCTAAATATTATTTGTTTTACTGCATTTGTTTCCCTACAGAAATACATGTTATATTAGGGATGGGTAGTATCAGTTTTGACAGTATTTTTTACTATTTTTGTCTGTTCCAACTCATCAAACTTAAAAAAAAGAAATATTGTGATAGTGTGTACCAAGAACATTTTTGAAGTTTTTCATTATATTTTTATATTTTTCTATATTGCACTCCTATCTTATATTCCTTTGTATGACTAATCCAAGTAGATTTAGTCCCAATTTCTACATTTTTAAATGTGTATGTATCTGCACTGGCAGATATGAAAACTATCAGATTCAGACATCGGCCTATTGCTATATCAGTGCATCCTTAGAATTAATGAAGGGTACTACTGGGTGTCTTTGATTGACTATTAACAACTTTACTTTCACTCTGCACTGTAGAAATGGTGTTTTAACTTAAAAAAGTGAGTTAACCTTGCTTCCTTAAAATGTTGATTTTATTGAACTTATTGTAGAATGTAGAATGTAACACACTGATTAACACGTTGATGTAACAATAACAGAATGTAAGAGGTTCAATGAACTAAAATTTTAAGACAGCTATATTACTTGCCTTGATAAAGCAACATTTTTTAGAGTGCATTCATTTTGATAACACACTAAATTAATCAATTTTAAGAGAGCGCAAAAGTAGCTTCTTTTTAGCTGACCCAGTTAATTAACACCCAAATTAGCTTGAATGGTAGAGCGCTGCCTAAATGCATTTCATCAGTCAGACAGGTTGCTTTCTGTCTGATACATGTTTCAGTCTTAACTTACACATAGCTTTTCAAAGCCTGTAGAAATGGACAAATTGCACAGTACAAAACGCATCTGACACCATGTAAAGCATATTTCTGTATCACTAATATCGGGACAAATTCTGGATGCGGCTTCAATTTCTGTGTGAAAATTGAGTGAGATAAAGAAGCAGGGGGTGTGCTGTGAGCCTGCCAGAGCGGATCAGAGAGAGAGCGAGGGATGGATAGGTGGATGGATCTGTAGGCAGGCTGGTTTCACTTGGCTGCGGCTCAGATCTAGTTGCAGGCAGGGCTTCTCCCTGGGAGGCCTCCCCTTCTGATCAAATGATCCGCCTTGGCAGGAGGCTGTCCAAAGCCCTGATCCTATCCTGCAACTCTAACCAGCGCTCTAATTGTATCTCAAACTCTCTCTCTCTCTCTCTGACACACACACACACACAAGGTGAGGATATACAGCCTAGGGGTAGGCAATCTGACGATATTTTACTATTATTGTGATAAATAATGCTTATTATGATAAATAAATTATATGCTTTTTCTGAGTGTACTGTAGGTATTAGCAGGACTTCTACAACACTAAACAACTGTCATAACAGACTCCTTCCAAATTTCTGCTTAATTTAATTGTTAAGATGCAGACTCCATTCTAGAGAAACTTGCTGACTCAGAATGATTCGCAGTGGTGGTCGGAACTGGATCTCCAAAACGTTTAATGTTTAAAAAGCTCCCAAACAGAAACCTGGTTCAGAATATGTTTCCTGATGCCTGAGACTTTTTTTCAGATAGTTTTGAGATAAGTGTTTGGCAATAAAATGTATCTTTAAAACACATGGAAGGCATATGCAAGACGATGCAAGGCAAAATAGTGCTGTAATATTTTTTTTTTTTGAAAATTTTGCAACATTTCCCAAACCAGTTATACAGAGGCTGTAAACAATAATAATAATAAATTTAAGATTTAAAAATCTATTTTAATATGGCATTACTGTTTTGCTGGTCCTTTTTGTCTGCTCTAACTTGTTATCATTGCCATATTGTTCAACCTTACGCATCCTAGAATAGGACGCAAGCATCCGCCCATGCTGTCCTGCTCAAGAGGGCACCCAGTTCGTCTTGCAGTGTCACATTTAATTAGTCAACGTGTCACCCAGCCTACTCACACTTGACTATCTTATTGCACGTCACAGAAGCTGAAAGGTGATTTGTGCACTCATCGAATGCTACATTCTCAGAGGGGACTAATGCAAGCACTCTCTGATACAAAGCTAGTGGTCAAACATTTCAATTCAGTGTCCATGGTCCAGCCAACTTGTGTGCGAGAGGCAATGCCTGGTCAGGCCAGTCACCTGTTCCCTCTATTCACCGGCATCTGGAGGAGCTGCTTACCACAGACCTACTAATCCACGGCCTAGAGAGCTCTCATCCTTGCTCACACACACACTTTCTGCTCCACTGCAAACACCTGCCCAAATAACTCTCATAAACTCTTAATTTGCATGTGGAGGCTTTTAATTTTTATTAATATCTTTAATTCTTCAAAATCTTTAGATCTTTATTTAATATATATACATGCATACACATGCTTCTGTAAGTCAGCAGGATGACATGGGGCTGGACCTCTCAATGAAATTCCTGCTGGACAGCAAGGCCCTCTCCAGCACAAAGCTCAAAGCACCAGTACAGACCAAACCACTTATCCTAGCATGCAGTCTATCCATTCATATATAGCATCCTTTGTAAAGGATCTAGAGTGGCATTGTTGAAAGTACTTTTGTTGGATAACATGAATACTTGATCAAAACCTCCACAAAAAACACTCTGTAATTGTGATTGGTCAAGATCTTCATAGCGAACAGTAACAAAACACTATGATGCTTAAATGTCAATAGTGTTACGTATTTACAACTAAGTATTAACAAGCAGTAATATTCTGCAGGCCTACCATACACCTCTTCTAATTAAAGAATCAGGCTATTTAAGGCATACTCATTCTCAACACAGGTGTTTGAAAGAACACAACGTAATCTCCATAGACAGTCAGTGGCAGTAGAAGGCTCTGATGCAGGTGTACACAAGTCCAATATCACCATATCCAATGCCAAGCATTGGCTAGAGTGGTGTAAAATGCCCTGCCAATGGACTGTGGAGCATTGGAACTGTGTTCTCTGGAGTGATGAAGCACTATCAAACACATTTTGGCATGAGCTGGAGCAGAGTTTGTGATCCAGAACTAATCAACAACAGTGTCTCACCTCAGTAACGCTTTTGTGGCTGAATGGAATCAAATCCTCACAGAAATATTCCCACCTCCAGTGGAAAGCTTTCTGCAAGAGCAGGGGCTATTAGAGCAGCAAAAAAGTGGTATCATACTCTTGATCTTGGCAGAAGAACAGGTGTCTGGATACTTTTAAACATACAATACTGTGCAAAAGTCAGAGACGACCCTTCATTTATTTATTTTCCAGTCAGAATGGAACATCAGGACAAAGCAGAAGACATATATTTAAAAGACAATCACACAGAAGCCTCAACAACTAAATATAATTTTTTCATTATTTAATGTATCCATGTTTATCTTTATAACAGCTTCCATTCTTTTCAGGGGAGACTTGCTTTCAGGTTCAAAGAAATCTGCAGGGATATATTTCTGCACCTCCAAAGTTCAGTCTTACAAGTTGATTGCATTTTCAGCTTTTCACAAAACAAGTAATCCCTCTTTCAATGATGTTGATGTCTGGACTCTGGGGTGACTAGTTCACTGTTCTGAGAACACCAGCAGCTTCTTTGTTTGATTTGCAAATGTTCTTTTTTTGTATTTCTATCTTTTTATAATTTATATTCTAGTTTTGGAAACGGTCATTATTTTCATTTATTTTTCTTTGATTTTCCTCTTCCTTATGCAAGTGGATTATCTTATATCTAATGTCTACAGAAATATCTCAAAAAAAAAGAGAACTAAATGGCTGTTTTGACTGGAAATTAAATAAAAGTTGGTCTCTGACTTTTGCACAGTACTGTGTAGTGTCCATGGCTTAAAATACTGAACCTGACAGGGTGATATTTTAATATCTTACACTGGTAAAAAAAAGACAGATTACTAGCCATGCCCACAAAACATCATGCAGCCATGTGCACAAATACCAACTGACACCTCCACTGAGAAATAGTGAGGGTGCGCTGGTAAACATTAAAATTAATTTTCCTATTATAACCCACAATGCATTCGCTGGCACTGCCTGTAATGCTAAATTGTCCTTGTCCTCTGAAATCATAAGGTAAAGATTGCTGTGTGTAGCCTATAGATGTAATTATCTCAGCATCCTGGCTGATGATTCATTCAACCTTCCTTCCAGTCAATCATCAGAGTTCTAATATAGAATCTCAGTGCCATGGCAACTCATCGCATATTATGGAAATGTGGCACAGACTAATGCATGAAAACAAATCATCCAAGAAGAAAGGCTACTGACAGGCAGGAACACAAGCTGCTGCCCCTTTTGTACAGAAAGACCGGCAGCCTCCTGACCTGCTAATAATCAGTGAATGATGGCGATACAATGGCGAGTAATATGTGTTAAAACATGAGAAGGCTATTAAACTAGCTGTCATGGCTACAGTATGTGCACAATCACAACCTCAGGGGGTTCAAGGTAAAACACGTTGATGTACAAATGCACTTGTAAGCAAATTTAACAACCAAAACTTCATCAAGACCGTCATAATCTATTGGTAAGCAAGTGACTCCTGCCAACGTGCTATGGCAGGCTGTAGCACGTCTGGACTTGTTGGCAAAGGTTTCGACAAGATGTCAGCAGTTTTATCCTGCTCTATGCTGTTTTGGCAGGTTGTAACAGGCTTGGGCTTGTGGTGACTTTAAACCTAACTCTAACCCACTCTGCACTCTTCTAAGGTCTCCTTGGCAGGTCATTACAGGTTCAGACAGGTTATGGCTTGTTCAGACAGGTTATGGGAGACAGAAACGCTGCTGTGAGAGCTGCTCCAGGGCTTACCTCATCATCGTCAGCATCATACTGAGCATACTGCTGCTCCAGCATCTCTCTCTGACGTCTCTCTTGCTCCAGAGTCTGACTGATCAGCTGGGCTACCTCGCTCTCCTGCCCTGGACGCTCCCGGCCAATCACAAACCTGCAGTCAAAAACAAAGACTTTTTAAACCTCGGGTGGGATGTGGCGTGATATGAAAACAGTCCAGACAATGGATCTAATTCACAGTTGGAAAGAAATGACTGCTGAGGTAGGGATGTTCTTCTGTCTGCGTGTCTGTGTGTGCATATTCACTGTGTTTTCAAGCTCAGTATGGCTGCTGCTATTAAAATGTAAGTACATAAGGATACCTTTTCTAGTTAATCTGGGAGATGACCATCGTCAGAAGCATGTCAAATTGACTGTATGACTCCAATTAATGCAATACATTCTTAAAAGGTTGCTGGCTGTTTATTCTAATACAGTAATCCGACAAATAATGTCAAGTGCATTTCCAGCAATACTGACCACTGATCTCAGCAACAGCTCTTCTTATCTCTTGGACAGCTAATAGCTTTTTTATACACTGGACATTTCCAGGCTTATATGTCCAGTTATTGAACCTGGCTCAAATCAACAGTATTTCACAATAAAATGTAAGTTTACCTTTAGGCCTTTAATCAAAATCAAATGAAACACAGTTTTCTCATTTTTCATAAATACACCTGTTAGACTTGCTAATGCAGTTTCTAACTGTATGGCATACTGTTATCTAAAAAAATGGACAAATATGCAGACATATTTCAGGCTAGTACCGTGTTTTGCTATGTGATGTGACATTTTTATAGATACATATACAGCATCAGAAACCACATACGAAAGTCTATTTGAGATTAAACCTAGTCATTAACTAATGAGTTGAATCAGGTGTGTTTAAACAGGCAAAATCACCAAACTGCAAGAATCCAACCCTCCGGAACTGTAGTTCCCCCTCCTCACCATACACACCTAATAATGGCAAGAGAAATGTTTGTGCCTGTGTATTTTGTGCTTTACTTTGATTTGATCATAAGCGCAAAGAGCAAAGACTACATTTGTTCAAAAGAAAGTTGCATGCAAATGTTTGAAATACCATGTTTTGTTGATTTTTATTAGTGAAAATAAGTTAACACATCCTCTGCAGGGAACAACTTAAACATGACACTTTTTCTGCACATTTTGGTGCACTATTTCTATTATTTGCTGAGTGTAACATACTGTAAAAAATAAAATAAAATAAAATATAAAATGTGCCATAACTTTTGCCACATTTTATGTTTTATTTTTCCCTCAATGTGTTAAATTCAGTAAATACACAGTGATTATGCTTTAAAATGTGCTGAAGTGTGTTCCCTGTAGAGGATGTGTTAACTTGTTTTCACTTAGAAAATTAACAAAACGTACCATTTTACCAGGGCACACAGCACTTTCTGTGTTGCCAAGTTTTCCTGTCATTCCCTTTCCTGCCATCATGCTCTACAGTCACTGATAAAACTAAAAGTAATGCTAGCTAGATAGGAGCTAGTTAATAAAGGGCAGTAGTGTAGGAATGAAGTTAACATATTAATGTCAAAGCATATTTTTGAATTTATGGTATATGATATGATATAATAATGATGACTGTAATGTCAACAGCCACATTCCGAATCAGTTTTGAGATCTATTATATGATTTCATTTAATTTTTGAAGTTGATATACGAATAACACAGTTATATAAATATAACTTAGTAATATTTTCATAGCATTATACTGGCTTACAGTACACTGCGGTAAGTTTATATTGACATGATTTTAGGCCAGACTTAGCTCTTTTAATTATCGAGCACACAGGGTGGGGGTTCCTAAAAATGCACAGTATACCCACCTATAGGTAAATTAGATTTTAGAACTATCGCTTTAAGACCATAGAGTACCAAATGACAAGTTTCTGAGAGTATTACCTCTCCATATTTCCGTATCGTACAGTCGCATCTCCTAGTGAGACATGCAAGGGTGACCCAGCAGGAACCCTGCCCTAATCAGGCCCAGCCTTGATCTACATCTGAAGCAACAGTAGAGCGGATCCTGAGTGCTGCTGGCTGCTCCTGTGCAGCTCAGCGCAGAGGAGCTGTGACCTGGAAACCCACACACACATGCACAGAGGGGCTCGTCACTGCTCCAGGATGCCATGCTCTCACTGCACTGACAGGCGAACCGTTTAGGACACCCACATCCCTTTAGCCGCCAGCTGACATCTCCTGTCGACCTCCTAACAGCTCCATGCTGCTGTGAACGTTGATTCATAAACCATCCAATCAATCTTAATTTAGAGTTGCTCTTGATATATACTTGTGTTGTTCAGTCCAGGTCAGTGGCCAGTGAAGTAGATGTGATTTGAGACCTGGATTAAATTCTAGGTTAAATATAGCGCGAAGGGAGAATCTGGGCCACCAGGCAACATGCTCAATTCGAGGAGAGGAGGGGAATTACTGAAGGAGAGAGTAAATCAGAGAAAGAGGAGAAACTGAAAAGATCAGAAGAGTTTAAAGGAACACTCCAGTGTTTTTTAACCTAATCTCCATCTGCCACATCTGTAGCATACAGTCTGTTACCACTAGGGATGCAAATTTTGTCTATTTTTTTCACTGATCTCCAAGTCATTAGATGGCAATTAATCATTAATGGGGAAGCCAAAATTAAGGATGTGACCCATCAAAATATATAATTGTACTATAAACATATAATCTGATATCTGATTGACTGAGTCACATTCAAAGCTATTGTAAAATGCTTTATGTATGCACACTTATGAGCACACACAACTGAATTTTGTATTATGAACAGAGATACAGTGCTGTGAAAAAGTATTTACCCCTGACCTGATTTCTTCTATTTTTGCTAATTTCTCACATTTAAATGTTTCAGATCATCCAACTAATTACATTAAATTACATTACATCATTACATTACATTACACTACACTAACAGGATTTTTGAGCATGAACTGCCCATTTAAGGTCTTGCCACAGCATCTAAGGGGACTCTGGCTCGGCCACTCCAAACCCTTAATTTTGTTTCTTTTGAGCCATTCAGAAGTGGACTTGCTTGTGTACTTCAGACCTTTGTCCTCCTGCATAACCCAACCGCGCTTGAGCTTGAGGTCATGAACTAACGGGAGGACATTCTCCTTCAGGATTTTCTGATAGAAAGCAGAATTCATGGTTCCATCAATTATGACAAGTCGTCCAGGTCCTGCAGAAGCAAAGCAGCCCCAGACCATCACACTACCACCACCATGTTTGACTGTTGGTGTGATGATCTTATGGTGGAATGCGGTATTTGCTTTACACCAAATGTAATGGGACCCATGGCTTTCAAAAAGTTCTACCTTTGACTCATCAGTCCACAGAATACTATCCCAAACATCTTGGGGGTCATCTTGATGTTTTTTGGGCAAATGCAAGATGAGCCTTTGTGTTCTTTTTTGGTCAACAGTGGTTTGCACCTTGCCACCCTCCCATGGATGCCATTTTTGCCCAGGGTCTTTTTTATTATGGAATAATGTACACTGAGCTTAACTGTACACTGAACTTGAGGCAAGTGAGGCCTGTGGTTCTTTAGATGTTTATCTGGGTTCTTTTGTGTCCTTCTGGATGAGTCATTGATGCACTCTTGGTAAAACTTTGGTAGGCCGGCCACTCCTGGGAAGGTTCGCCATTTGTGGATAATGGCTCTCACTGTGGTTTGCTGGAGTCCCAGAACCTTAGCAATGGCTTTGTAACCCTTTCCACACCGGTAGATTTCAGTGAGTTTGTTTCACATCTGTATTTGAATCCCCTTAGAACGTGACATCATGTGCTGCTTTTTGAGACCTTCTAGCCTGCTTCACATTGCCAGACAGAGATTTAACAGGTCTGGCAGTAATCATGCTGGGGTGTGGCTACTTAAATCGAACTCAATTTGGTCAACTGGTTGATTTAGTAGCTAAGGGGGCAATTACGTTTTCACTTAGGGCCAGGTAGGGCTGAACAGCATTTTTCCTTCAATAAACAAAATCATCATTTAAAAAAACAGTGTTTTGTGTTACTTGGGTTACCTTTGTCTAATATGAAAAGAAGCTTGATGATCTGAAACAAGTGTGACAAATATGCAAAAAACTAGAAGAAATTGTTGAAACTGTATAAAACATACCCTACTCAAGAACCCACTTTTTTAACTGAGGGGTGACAAGTTCAATATGTTTATGATTATATCACCAAAAACTAAAAAAGTTGCCAAAATGACAGGAATAAACAATGATGGGATATTGAAGGTTCTATTTTCTGAAGTTCTGAAGTTCTATTTACCACTCATTTCTGGCCAAATTCAAAACAGACACACATGTCATGACTGTGGCTAGTTTTGGCCCAGAATTTCTTGAAAGCTGCCACCATCCATCACATCATCCTTTATAATTTAACACACCCATGTTTGATTTCCTCATCTCATGGACTCTACTAGCTTTAGCTGCAAACTTCATTTTTAGTAGGCCTATCTAACAGAACCAACTGCTTTTTGTGCCCACATTTGTACAGTTCAAAAACGTTCAACTTGAAAAATAAACCCACCTACTCAAAAACGAACTGTTGTTTATTGTAAATAAAATTTAATTCAAATTTTTCCCCCGATAACACTGGATGAACAACTGCTTATGTGTAGGTTAACAGTTAAGCATCTAAGCATTTACATCTCTAGTTTTCCATGGGGAATAATCTCAATATAGTTATGACTGAAGTCAGTGGGCAGATGAAAAGGATTGTCTATGCTGATTTTCCATATGCTACAGATGCGGCAGACAGAAATCAGATAGAAAAATACTGGAGGTTTAATTTGAGGCATGTGGCGTCTTGTCTCCTCATGCTGCACATATCAATATTAGCTGAACAAACATTCACCAGGGTGGTGAAACCGGGGAAGACACATGGCACTTCATCAAAAAAACATTTCTTATATGTTGTAGAAAAAATGCATCAGAAGAAAATGGTTTCTTCTGATATACTATAATTAATTCACTAATTCAGTGTTTATTTTTAATGAACTTAAAAAGCAAAAAAGAATAAACTCTCCTGTTATATTCACCACAGCTGCAGTAGGGGCTTCTTTTGTCGCATCAGAGATAATTGCAGAGGCTCAGGCAGTGAGGTGATTAAAGAGAGAATGGGGGGGACACAGCGCAGACAGCTTCAGTTTAAAAATAAATCTCTCCACCACTGCTGTCCTATTGTTTATGAAGAGATTGTTTTCTCTCAGTATGAAGTCCTGCTGCTGGCTAGTACCCCAACACAAAGAGCCGCTCTGTTCGTCCATGTCTGAAGGGCGCTTCAATACACTAATGAGAATTGTGGACTGTGTGTGCTTCTCATACACAGGGGAAGCGAGAAGGAGCCAAGACGATGTGCCACGACAATTCACTCAGCGGAAATAATGCTGTTGAGCGATGCTAAGCTATTAAAGTGATTTGAGATCAGGCTACAAGTTCCTCTGTTAGGTTAAGGTTAGGGCTTAAGCAGGACAAGCTGGTTCTACAGCAGGACTAAAGGACAACATTTACCTGTGACTAGTTAAATAACATGTAGGTGTCTGTAGGCACTGTCTGTGTTTGTATGTGATGTAAACCACTGATAAGATACTCAAGACTCCCTATATCCAAAGGGTTAACAAGACTAGGAAAGTCTAGTTTTACTGGACTGCCATCATCTGCATGGCATTTGTCACATAAGTGTCTATGATATAATACATAGGATAGGATATATTTTGATGTGTCAATCGCTACTATTAGAACTATCACTTTGTACAGCTAGATTTGCTAATGTAATGTTGACTAGCTTAACTTTCACATCACATTCCTGTTTATAATACCACTTCTACTACTGCTAACAATAATAATCAGTAGAAGAAGAAGAATAGTAAGTACAATGTTCAGTAAGTACTCAAGTACATCAAGTTACCTTATTTAAACAGCATAATTACAGATAAGCGGATAAATCTGTGTTCTCTACAGATTTGTTTGGTAATTCAATGCATAAATCTGACACAATGTGTCTGCTATGTCATGAGTGAATCCATGAAGACAGATTTAGCTAGCTCTTTAGCTAGGTCTAAATTATAAAATCAGATGCTGTTATTAGCATAGTAACAGTATCACACTCTAAGATCTTTTTTACTTGCACACAGATTCACACAACTGTGTAAAGTTATTCAGAACATAAATTAGTCATTAGTAATTAGTAAATTTTTTCTGTTGAGGGTGTGAAAATATGAGCAACTCATTCTCTAGCTGCTAGCGGCTAATGTTACACTGGCAAACAAATGTAACTTTACAATCCTAGAAATAGCAACTGACACAACAAAATAGTATTTCGGTTTACATTTTGGAACACTGGGTCACGTACTAGAGCTCAGTGAGTTACAAATAGCTAAATAAAGTACTATTCAGACAGGATTAGTTTTACGTGTGGAGGTAGGCTAACGGAATTTTACCACAGGACGTCTGTAACATTTATGATCAGTTTGCACAGGATATGAAATCTCAGTTTAATTACGCATTTTTATAGTACATATTGACTTGGTTTTAGCCCCAGAGAACACAGGTAAATGCTTCTTCAAGCACCCCCATACTTAAGAAACTACTTTTCCACAGGATATGATAGCATTTTTACGGACATGTCGGTTTGCATGGGATTGATATAAACTGGGGTTATTTGTACAGCTCGTTTTATGGAAGGTAAAAGGCCCTGGGATCTTTACACACGCAAGAGCGTGTAGCTTGTAAAAAACAACTGACATGTTTTTTATTCGAACAGGACTAAAATCACAGAGAAATGCTGGTAAAAATGACATTGCCTCACCTACTCATGTAAAAAATCCTGTCCAAATAGGGCTTATGGCTGTTTATACAGTAAGATGAAGGAAAGCTTCCAAAAGGAGTCAGACACAGCTCCTGCTCAAAAAGAAGTATTTGTTCCCATGTTATTTCACCCTTTATTAAGTCATTGTTGACCCATGATGTGTTTCAACGAACACGTTATTTGTTAGCCTTATGTTAGCAGCGTTGCAAGGATATGAGTGTGAAATTTAACGGTGTATGATGCCACCTGCTATTTGTCTTAGGTGAGGCTTACGCATGGATGTTTCAACAGTGGACATCAGTCAGTCAGTCAGTCAGCCAGTGTCTCAGTAAATACATGAAACACTTACTTGACCACGCCCTGTGTGTTCCTCAACACAGAGGCAGCGAAGCTCTGGGTCACACCCACCAGACTGGTGCCATCAACCTCCACAATCTGATCATTCACCTTAATCCTGAAGAACAAGAAAGCGATAGAGAAGAAAAACAAAACATTAACCCTTGTGTGGTGTTCAGGTTTTTGTTACTCAGTGGTCTGGTGGACCCACCGCATTATTGTTTTTGAAATCAATACAGCCGTAACAATTTATGTAAAAGTACAAGATGTTTAAAATATCACAAGTGGCAGCGTAAGGATCTCCTTTAGCAGCTGTAGCCAGTCAGCAGCCTGTCCATGTTGGCCACCCTCACACACACGCACACATATACAAACACATAGACGCACACAGACACACACACTCACAGCAGGCCATGTAGGAGGAGAACAGTGTGAAGGGACACAGCAGCTCCACACTTTTATTCCCCGCGGGTTGATCCCAACACCACGTGTAATATAAATGTGTAGGGGGGTGTACAGTGTGAAGTCATTAAAAAAAGTGTCATTTTATATGTTCTTTATAGAAAATGAGCGAAGGCCAAGGAATCTGGGGTTGAAATAATAATAAATCGCATAATTTTTTTCTTTTCGTAAACACTGAAAATGGGTCCCACAGACCCAAACACCACACAAGGGTTAAGATACTTTTTACCAGCAACTATAGAACAGCTTACTACTCAGTCCTGGGTCTGCCTCTTCCATAGTAACTTTTAAATTGCAAAACAAAGCTCATCTGCACTCTTTGCATTGGAAGGTGATTAAAATGTGTACGTGCATCGTCCTGTTGATGTCTTTTTCAGGGCATCAAGAATTGTCCCTTACATGTCATTTTTTTTTTTTTCATTTAATTTTTTAAAAATTCTTGTGTCTTTTCTGTTTTCAAATCTTTGAAACGTGCTTTGTAACTGAAGCTTGCAATTCACAGACTAAATGAATGTACTAATTTAAAACACAGGCTGTTGGATAGCACTAGCTCACATGGAGAAGCATGTTCATCACTCAAGTGCAGCAGGCGTGTATTTATGGCATAAAATCATTACACAGAGCAGCCAAAATAAAAATAAACTGGCTGACTGTTGAGCGCATCTTGGGAGCAAATATCGGTGGATTGTGGTTTCCTTTTTTATTATGGTTTATCTACTTAACCTATACAGCACATTGGGAAATGCCAGTTGACTTTAAATGTGCTCTAATCATAAAACTTACTTACTAATAAGCACCTGCTGATATAAAAACTATACATCACAAAAATTACCTAACCTGCTCAGGCCAATAACCAACGACATACTAAAACAGTGGTACAAACACCAAGTAAGTCATAGAGTCACTAAGTGAGAGCATAATGGTACCTTGTGAAACCAGATGCTCTGCGTATCTTAAAAAATCTCTGGTGAAATTTCAACATGTTTGATTAAAATGCAGTGACAGTATTTTAAAGTGTTCATCATAACAATACTGTGTGTGCTAAATATCACAGTATACCTTCTTACTGAATACCAGCACATCTACTTACTAACTAATACACTGTAAAGTAGAATTGCAGAAGTCTTTCAGTGTCATAATCATAGACTGCACATGCAGATGGGGAGGCACAATGAATCTTGAGTACACCATTTCCATGTGTCTTATAAACATGGAGTTTGGACAGACATGTGACGACCCCTTCCTTCCACTGCAGGCATAAAACTGTAATGCTTATCAGACAGAAGAAATTACAATCACAGTATGGGGGGCACATTAGGACAGGGATGGCGAAGGCTCTGGGCTTGTGGCAGCTATTTGGTCAATCACTGAATGTGGGTCACTAACCTGCCCCTGTGCCTGTTCAGTTTCTTCACAGTCCTACAATTTCTGCACAAACTCCTTACTACTGCCTTAACCTCTGGTTACTTGTTCTTTAACTGATGTGCTTTGTAATTCCTTATTTCTTGATAAAACAGTGACAACGACCTACACTCCCCCTCTGGAAATTAAGCTGCTGGCAAATCCACTCTGTTATGTAGACAAGCAGGTGGCAGAACGCTTGCCAGACAGAATCTTAATGTGGTTTCTATGAGTCTGGCATAAACACTGCATGACCTTCAAAGGCCTTCTGCAGCCGTGCCTTAATACTGAGCAAGCAATCAACAGCTCTATGTAAAAGAGGAGAAAATGGAGACCACTCAACAATCTCTATCCAAAACTGCACTAAACTGTCAGCAAGGAGAAAGCGTGCCAAGATGTAAATGGAGGATGGAGGAAATTACATTCAGGCCATCGAATCCTCTCTGCCTACTGCTCCACACCTGAGGGCAAGCCTCTCAGACAGACACAGATCTCTTGCCATGAGCATCTTTCTTCATATTTCATCAAGCTACCGTACGTGCTGGAGCTGCATGACACAGCCAGAATGTCATATTGTGATTGCAGTATGTTATGCAACATATTAAAACATTTTTTGCATGGGATAAGCGCTGCCTGGAATGCTTTATAAGCTGATATAAAAAAACAGACTCACATGACCTGGGGGGCCTCAGACAGTAACCATAACAGAGCTGCTGTATCAGAATGTACCGCTAACTAGCTAGTGAAGTCAAAACAAATGTTGGGACACTAATCCAAATGTACATATTCAAACCTGAGATCTCCAAAGTACCTTCCAACACATCTGACTCAAAATAGCATTAACATTCTTAAAAGATATTCCATTTGAATACTGATTTGAGTTGTCAAATATCTGACACTGTCAAAAGTTTCTTGGTTACAAAATGTCTGTGAGAAAGAGCACAGATAAGCTGTAAATTGTAAAATCATGCATAAAAATGTCCTGAAGTGGTGGGATGAGACAGGATGTGTTTAAAACCTTCCATGCTCTGACCATCCAAAAGGGAACATCCAACAAACCTGGTTGAGCATCTGTTGTGCAAGCTGTGCAAAAGCTGTTATCCAAAAGAAGGGACAGGCAACAAAATATTAACCTAAATAAAATATATAACATATGACTAAATAAAGGGAAGAGACACTACTGTTTGTCTTACTAATGTGTAAGTACTTTTATTTGCCTTATATAAGGTTTAAATTATTACTAGGATCATTTTGAGTTTCAGTTAGAAAACCTGGTTGTTACTGCTGGTTGTTATAACTTTTCAGACGGACACAAAATAAAAAATGATAACTTTAGCTTGGAAAGTAATAAATAAACAAACAAACCATAAATTGTATTCAGAGAGTGTCCCAAGATTAGTTTTGTGCACTGTACATATTGCAGCCTTCAGCCATACAGATGTTGAAATGTAAATTCATTCAGGGTGCTTTAATGTGCATTCCTCATTCTAGAGAAATTTACTGACTACAGTGGTGATGATAGGAACCAGGGGTTGTAATGTTTTTACCACAAATATAGTAATTTTATTTACTATCCACAACAACCAGTCAACCAACATGTCTTTTGAGTTTTTATATATGATGTTGATCATGTTAAATCAGTGGTGAACCCCAATTCTTTTTCTTTTTTTTTGTGTTCTAACATCCTGCATGTACCTCACCACCATGAATGGTTAAAAATATGTTTTAGGCCAAAGCCTCACCTCCAAACTATGGTTTGGTAAAAGAATATCTCAGAAATCAGGCAGCACATTCGTATTAATTTCATGGAATAACTTTCTGTGAGGCATTAAATGCCTCAGTGTGTGTTTACATCTTAATGATTTAATAATGCCGACATTTTGAAAAATCTGCGGTATTCCACCTTAGTGATTAACAAACAATACACTGTGCTGACCTAGTAGGTGCTTATGCAAGACGAGACACTAAGGGCTTACAATTGTTTTCTTCTCTTTCCAGCATGAACCTTGGCGAACAGTGATCTCTCCCATGTCTCCACGAACGCTAATACCGCCCACATGTTCTCATGCGGTTGGAGCTGATCCCAATACCATTAATATTCTCCTGCAGCAAGCTCCTTAGCTCTGCCTTAATCCTGTTGGTGGCAGTCAAAGTTACCCCAGCTGAGTGCTGTGTTGACATGCAGGTAACCTGCTGTGAGATGGGCTCTACTCCCTGAACGCCCCACGCCTGGCCCTCACCCATGGAGGACTCAGCCTCCTGAGCTGCAGCTGCTGACAAAATCCCAAAGCCTTTCCTCAGATTTCAGGCCCTGCACTAATCTCAGCTACCCCCACAGAGAAAGCTTCCTGGGAATGGGTGCAGTGGTGCAGAGCAGGGGGCCATGAACTCCTCCTAACCCTCTTCTCCCTGCTCTCTTTATCCTCTTCTCTCTCTCCACTTTCCTTCCTCACTTCTTTCCTCCATCGTCCTTACCTTCCATCTCTCTCCGCTGCTCCACCTTCGATAACAGTCTTGACGAAGATGCCCAGCTTCTCCAAGCCTGCATCCGCACCCACTCCCATTCCGATAATGCTGATGCCCAGGCCATCGTCATCTAAGCAAAGAGCAAAGAGATGATTCAGAGACATGATTTACAGCAGCGGGTGACAATTCAAGGCAGGGCACAAACTATGACTCAACTAAGAAACTTGTCTATGAAAAGATGGATGCATGGAGGGATTGACAGATAATGAAATTATCCATAATGCACGGTTATGTGTGTTATTACTAGTTCAGCAATACAATGTATATATCAAAACACAGCATGTACAAAGTTCATGCTAGTCTTAAAGGCTTTATTCACGTTCACTGTGACAATCGAAAGTGCCTTAAAAGCTAGCCCACATCTAATAAAGCCTTTCTGTGTTTAATGTGTCCATACGTGTTACAGTTTCCATTCTTTTTTGGGAAACTTTTTCCACTTCACACTTTTCACACTTTTTCAAAGAAATCTGCAGGTATCTGTTTCCACACCTACAAAGTTCAGTTGGTTGCACCTTTTTGCTTCTCAAGACCCAAACACATTCAATGATGTTTAGGTCTGGGCTCTGAGGAGTTCATTGTTCTAAGAACACCAGCAGCTTCTTTTTTGATTTTAAAATTTTCTTCATTTTCCCTTTCTTGGTTTCCTCACAGTGGAAGGATGGACAGAAACATCTGTGGATTTTTTTAGATCTAAAGCAAGAGTGGAGCTTGATTTTCTCTTAGCTTTCACAGATGAAAGCTTTAAGTTCTGTGTATCAAATGGTTGTTAGGAGTCACATTTTCTTTATATCTTTTAATTAAACTTTAGTTTTGCAAACGTTTCAATTCCTCATTCAAGTGGATTACGTTCTATCTAATCCCATCAAAAATATCACCTTGAAAAACACAATAATTTGCACTTTTTGGCCAATTTGCCTGGAAAGGAAATAAATGGAGGGCTGTCTGACTTTTGCACAGTACTGTATATAACCAATTATGCAGCCTAGACCAAAATAATGTAACCACACACATTCTACCCCTTTCAGTAAATCTCTGTAAAGTAATGAGTACAGTGTTGGAGAGAAAATTCACCCTTTTCCAGCTCTACTGGGAAAAGTTCCAGTTTCTCCACCCTCTTCTCCAGTTCATACTCCGCTGAGGATGCCACCGGATCCACCTCCTCGTTTCTGCGATCATAATCCTCATTCGAGTAGGTATTAAAAACCTGGAGACAGAAACAGGTGAAGCTTATCTCACTGCTGGGGTCATATTACGAACACAGCCGTGAATGTAGAACAGGAGATTTATTTCTTTATTTCAGCCTCCAAAGACCAAGCGCAGCATGTCGCTCTGAATCACTGAGGGCTCATAGCTATTACATTTCCAAGATGTATGGAGTAGGTCATAAAACAACGATACTATGTCTTCACTTCTACAGGGCATCTTTCTACTTCAGACACATGATTGGTGGGGGAGAGGAATTATGATTAGTAAAGGGGGCGGCATATAATGTCACTGTGGATTTGTGCACCGGATCTGACCCCATAACTTTGCTCATGCTCTAAAACACAAACAGTCACTTCCCATCCCATCAGGGTAAGTGACGGAGCTGAGCGGTGGGGTGTGAAGGGGCTGTCACGCAACGCTGCCTCACCCACCCATGGCATCTCACACGCACCTCGCCCTCATGCCAACATGCAGCATGACTGCTTCTCCTTCACCTGGCTCTTACTGGACAGTGCTGGGTAAATCCCTGTCCTTGATTTGATTACAGTTGTTCAAGAAACTAGTCAACACATCATGAAAGCTCAAATTTCACAGCAGATTTATTCAGATTATTTTGGTGCAATATTATTTAATAACATTTCTTTCTTATTGCTCCCAAAATACTTGAAATTGTAAATAAACCATCTGTTTACATTTTGTAGTGTAGTTTCAAATTCAGTCTACATTGTGTAAGTTATTAATGTATAACAACTATTCACATGACAAGTGATTGCAAACCTGTAAACGATAGTACATTTCCACACTCTTGAGCTTGATGGTGAAGAACCAATGTGAGCCTTAACTAGCGTACCTCTGACCTCTGCTCCTGCTCATCTCAATGAATAGACCTGTGCCCAACATAGATTGGGAATCCAGATTCAACCTGAGAATGTTATTTCAGCCAAAAAATGAGTGCATACTTTATTAAATATTATTGCTATTAATGCTGCACCAATATGGGAACTGTGCCAATATTTTTTATGTACAACTGCTGATGACGATACGATGCCAATACATAAATATTTATAAGATGTAGAAATTATGAATGTATCTATCTGGATTAGCATTACAAAGAAATAAAACAGACATTTTGCAGACATTTTAGCACAGTAGCCCAGCTTTGCCTAAACCATCTGCTCTACTAGAGGACAACAAACACATCATCAAATATCAGTTTGAAATAGCAGTCAAATTTTCATATCCAATGCCATTATCAATTATCAGCCAGATAACAATATGATTTAATATCATTATTCATCACAAATTGTAATCCATTTTAACTGATTGTAACATTCCAAAATCAGTCCACTTGAATCGCTGCCTTCACATCAATTCATCACGACAAATGCATTTTTACACCCTTACTGAGAAAAGATAAGCTTCTCACCATGATGTAGGTCCTGGAGTACCCATCCCCTGCACATTATGGGTTTTCCCTGCTTCCCTACATGCCCGACCCAATTAATAAGCTAATTAAGCCCTTGCAGATTGTGTGTTCTAGAGCAGAGAAATCACTAAAATGTGCAGGACCCGACCAAGGTTAGGACCAACTGATGTAGGACCATGTCGTCACCTTGACAACTACAGAAAAACCATGAAATCAGCATAAAACAGCAACAGTCACTAACACCTGCTGAAAGTGTGTGAGCTCCTGGCTATCGTCTATCAGCAAATTAGCGTGCCACATTCACCTCAAGGCAGCCGTCGAAGCAGTCATATCCAGCTGTCACTTTGAGGAACATCAGCTTCATTTAAGCTCTGATAAATCATAATTGAGTCACCGCTACCTTGTCTGAGGAAACAAATTAGGCTGGGATGCTTGACGTACTGTATGTTCGTTATTAAAATAAAGCACCCGTAGCAGAACAGCCTGTGCGGTAGGGAGTGTTCTAAAAGTGGACGCTTAGGAATGTGTGAAAGCACAGCACTGAAAATGATGAAATTGGAGCACGATTTGAAGCAGCTCTGCAAATTAGTGATATAAGAGTGGCGATGTCACTGTGAACTTCCCATCATCAATAATGCAGCCTGATCAACCACTATGCATTATTGAGCAGCCACGTAGCTGAACAATAGATTAGCTGCTACAATGCATATTAGTCTCTTCATCTGCTTTGCTCTGTCTCACCAGGCTTGCTGTAAGCTGAGCAATGCAACACATGCTGGAGCAATGTCTGTCGCAAGGAAGAGAGAAAGAGGGACAGGGAGTGAAAAAGGCTGAAAATGTGTCCAAGCTCCATGACAGCAGATGCAATGCCATTAGGACTGACTCAGATGAAGCATGGCTAAAGCAAGTATGTTTGACAATACAACAGATCCGGTATATATACTGATTTGGTATCAGCAACAATGCCGAGCTGATTGACTGAGCAGCTGTCAGGCAGAAGTAATCATTATTGTTTTCTAGTTAACAGATGATATTTTCTTGTTAAAGTATTCATCATTTATAAGCCCTCTCCAAGCCCTAAACACACTTCCTATGCTTTTTTTTTCTCTATCTTTAGCTTATGCATTTTTATGTAACTGATTTAATAAAAATAACTAAAATATTGAGTAACACAACATCGTAATAAAACATTTCACCGCTCGTTTTGAAATGTGTGAGAGAAAATGTGAATTTGTGTGCTCCAGCAGAGACATTATAAAGGAGGAGACAAGCCACTGCTTGGAAAATGAATGGGAAAGCATAATATGGTGTCTGTTATGGGGGGAAAAAACCTGCTCTTCAATAAAAATGGTAAAGCAGCAAGTTAGAAAAGCTTCCCCTTGTTGTGGAAATATGCACATGCGCAGCAGCCAGAACAACTTAATTTTTTTGTGCATTTTTTGAGTCAAACGCTACAAAGTATTTATTCTGTCTTTGTCAGATTTTATCTGTGATTTTTAAATTGTTTCTAAAATGTTAGAGAGGCTTTTGGTTTTGGTTTTATAGATCTCTCCCTATTAAAACAGACTGGAAGTAACTGCCTGGCGACGTTGCCTAGATGGCTCCTGCAGGTATGGTTTCATGGTACCTTATTCTCTTTAAATGATGTACACAATAGCAACTCGTGGAGACATTTCAGACTGCTAAATGTGCATGAGTGAGTAAGCTCCAAAGCCACGTCCACATACTTTGTGATTTAAAAACAACACACAGAGTTTTCCTGGCAATGTAGCAGAGATTCTTTGAAATTCAGCTACAGATGCCTGTGGGAAAGCATGAAATATTATATTTTTATAATTTATTGAAGAGCGGGATAATATTTTCATAATTTCATAATTTATTGAAGGGTGTCTTTCCTCCATAAAAAGACACCATGTTCAGCATTACGAGCTTTCCTATTTATTTTCCAGCCAGTGACCTGTCTCCTCCTTTATAATTCCTCAGCTGGAGCTCACAAATGCATGTTTTCAGTCACGAAATTTCAAAAACCAGAGGTAAAATAGTTTATTACCAAAATAAGCTGTATAATTATGAAAACACTGAAACATGGAAAATGCACTGAATTATATTGCTATGTCACACTCTTGGAAACCCGCAGCAGAGACAGTGGAAAATGTCTCTAATGTAGCCCAACGGCTTGTTCACGCCCCACAATAATCAATATTATAGCAATAAAAGAGAATAATATACTTAACATTCAACATTAAAGAGAAATAAACATTATTTAGAAATCTGTTTAAAAAGAAATGTGTCCTCTTTCAGTTCTCTTTCCCAATATGGCATTATCTCCTTTAAGCATCACCAGTCATCAGTGAAATCTGATTACATTGCTCTATCAGCCAGATCTAATATGCTGTAAATAGTGTTCTAAAACAAGTGTTTTAAATATAATTATTCTTCAAAGCTGTCAGACTGTATAGCTGTGTAGTGTAGCGTAGCATGTACAGTGGTGTGAAAAAGTGTTTGCCCCTTCCTGATTTCTTATTCTTTTGCATGTTTGTCACACTTAAATGTTTCAGATCAACAAACAAATTTAAATATTAGACAAAGATAACACAAGTAAACACAAAATGCAGTTTGTAAATGAAGGTCTTTATTATTAAGGGAAAAAGAAATCCAAACCTACAGGGCCCTGTGTGAAAAAGTGATTGCCCCTCTAAACCTAATGACTGGTTGGGCCACCCTTAGCAGCAACAACTGTAATCAAGTGTTTGCGATAACTGGCAATGAGTCTTTTACAGCGCTGTGGAGGAATTCTGGCCCACTCATCTTTGCAGAATTGTTGTAATTCAGCCACATTGGAGGGTTTCCAAGCATGAACTGCCTTTTTCAAGGTCATGCCACAGCATCTCAATCGGATTCAGGTCAGGACTTTGACTAGGCCACTCAAGTCTTAATTTTGTTTTTCTTAAGCCATTCAGAGGTGGACTTGGTGTGTTTTGGATCATTGTCCTGCTGCAGAACCCAAGTGCGCTTCAGCTTGAGGTCACGAACAGATGGCCCGACATTCTCCTTCAGGATTTTTTGGTAGACAGCAGAATTTGTGGTTCCATTTACCACAGCAAGTCTTCCATGTCCTGAAGCAGCAAAACAGCTCCAGACCATCACACTACCACCACCACATTTTACTGCTGGTATGATGTTCCTTTTCTGAAATGCTGTGTTACTTCTACACCAGATGTAATGGGACGTACACCTTCCAAAAAGTTCAACTTTTGTCTCGTCAGTCCACAGAGTATTCTCCGAAAAGTCTTGGGGATCATCAAGATGTTTTCTGGCAAAACTGAGGCGAGCCTTTATGTTCTTTTTGCTCAGCAGTGGTTTTCGTCTTGGAACACCGCCATGCAGGCCATTTTTGCCCAGTCTCTTTCTTATGGTGGAGTCATGAACACTGACCTTAACTGAGGCAAGTGAGGCCTGCAGTTCTTTGGATGTTGTTGTAGGGTCTTTTGTGACCTCTTGGATGAGTCGTCGCTGCGTTCTTCGGGTAATTTTGGTCGGCCGGCCACTCCTGGGAAGGTTCACCACTGTTC